CTATTTGTCTCTTACCCAGAGTCTTGTCTATGATTTATTCCACATAGCACCTTTTTGGCCGGCTTAGACATGTTTTCCTCTTCGTCAGTTGCTCCTGGAATGTCCACCACTACCTATAGGCCCATCCTTGTTGAGACAACCTCGGTCCAGCATTCAACACCTGGACGTTTGATGGCTCAAGTTTCATGCATGGAAGTGATGTGGTCCTTTGCCTGACATAAGGGTTTAATTTCTAAAGTTTCCATTTATTTGACTAAATCCATCCTTCGACCTACTACCCACTTCATCCAACAGTCTCCATAGTCTCACGTTATTGACGTGGATTTTTGAGAGAGGTTTGTCTTATTCTACCGTTGCATTATATAAGGTATCCTTAGCTGCTATCTTTTGTTATTCTAAGTATAGGAAGATTTTTGACTCTCCTGTGCTATCTCATCTCTTATGATCCTTTCGTATTCCTCGACCCAAACGACTGTTACAATTGCCTAATTGGGACTTTAGAGTTGTTTTACATGCATTACCACATCATCCTTTTGAACCTATGGCCTAATGTTCGTTGTATCACCTTTTCCTCAAGGTATATTTTTATTGTTGTTAGCTTATGGATGCCGCCATTCTGATTTATTTGCCATCCATGTTCAATGGACTCTCTGTCATTCCACCTATGTTTTGCTCTATTCAGACAGATCCTTTCTACCAAAAACTATTGCTGCCAGAGAAGGGAATAAATCCTTTTCTCCTATTTTTTTACCAGGTATTTCTCATATTTACAGTCGATTAGACCTGGATTGTTTGTTGTGTCCAGTCAGAGCACTTAGATGTTATGTGGCTCCTACAGAACTATTCAGAGGACCTAGGAACCAGCTTTTTATTCATTAGGATCCTGCAGTTCCCAGGATTTATCACCCATTACATTAACTAGAGGGCTTCAGAAATTGATTCATATAGCCTGTTCGAGGTTATCTATTGAAGATCGTAATATGCTCCATGTCACTTCTCATCAGCTTCAGCATCTATCAATGTCATTGGCTGCTCATTTGAACTATACTCTGAAGGATATTTTGCGGGCCAGTATGTGGACTTCTCCCTACAATTTTTTATCTCATTACCTTCATGGTGTGGCAGTTTCCTCTTCCATGGGATTTCGCCTTTCCCTTGTGGCTGTGTTAACTACCTCTGCTAGACTTTTACAAGGGAGTGAGTCACTTTCTTACCTGATTTATGTCTTTTTTTCTTTTTTCTTCTATGGTCCCTCTTTATTTCTTTTGGATCCCACTCAGTGGCGAGTGTTGCCCAGTCAGGTGGGGTTGTATTTTTCAAATCCGCACAAGCAACCTTTATATTGTTTCATGGTTGCAATGGGCTTAGTTGAGATGAAGTGTTCCATAAGACCATCTAGCCACAATTCTGGATGGTAGTATTATCTCAAACTACAACTCTAATGGACTGCTACTCATGGACTATCATGAGTAAAGCTAAAGGGGATTTTGCCAATCCCTGCTGATCTTCGAGCTACATCAGTTGAGATTGGTTTGCTTTTAAAACTTATGGAATGTGGTTCACCTGTTGCACTGTCTCCGGAGACCTGTTCCTCTGGACTTCCCAATTATACTAGTGGAGCTAGGGATTCCTTACCACACCCAGTTCCCAGTCACTGGGGTGGTGGACAGAGGATTTTCCTTTGGAGTGTTGAGTTTTTCTCCACTCTTGTAAAACTGGTCCAGATTTGATGCATAGCTATCTGGTGGAAGTGCACTTGGACCCTCTTATGAACACTGTCGAGTATTAGGTTGTTCATATAGGGGATCCATTATCTCCTCGTAAATTTGAACACAACGAGGTCCCATTTTAGGCTCTTGGTGGAACAGTGTTCCACGCCCTCTTCATAATTTCAGGGGTAAGTGCAATTCTCCTTGCCCACTTGGTTGAGGAGTGAAGATGACTGTTTGTAAGTCCAAACCAGATGAGTTCTGGACCTTGGGTGGGGGTATGGCATATATGATCCCATCAATCCGAGCCTTTTGGACTTCTTGAGGTTGATCAGATGGACTGTCCACTTTGGTGTTGATTTTTTTCTTTCATAATTCTGGTAGATTGAAATGCATCATTCCGTGGCTGCAGGTTGGGATCCTATCACAAAGATATGTATATATTTGTGGTCCAACTGTCCTGGCCACCAATGTGGGATATGAATATCATGACCTCTTATATCCAGCCCTGAGTCGTGGAACCTTAGCTGCTTGGTTGGGGCTGACCCATCATACTTACTTACCCATCAGATTTATATATGTCTTGTAATTCCCTCAGGAACTAAACCTGTGGTGAATTGATACCTGTAAGAAAATAAGCCGATGGAACACTCACAACCATGATTTGGCCTGCACAAGTTCCTAATACGGATTATTTGAGATATTATTAGGCACTTTAATTCTTTGTCTGTAACAACTAAACCAGCTGTGTACTCTTGGACAGTTTATCAACCTATTTTAAGAACTTATTCACTAAGCCTTGAATGTATTGTTTAGACCTTTAATAACACAGGCCTTGAAACTTTTACATGTTCTACAGTAATTCCTGTACACTGAATCCGAAAATGATATCCATTTTTCTCTATCACAAACAGATTTTTCACAAAACAAATCAGGATGTATGAGGATGCATATTTGTTTGACACAAATGTTTTTCCCTTTTCTTCAGTTTATTTGAATTTTTGTTAACAAACATAATAATAATGATTGTTCATTGTGGTAAACAAAATAATAATTTGATCTAATAAGAGTTTTTATTTTTATTCCCGAGTTATAAAAAATCCTTGTTATAGAAAAAATGAATATTATTTTTAAAACCTGCATAGCTGAATTATGAAAAATCTGTTATTGAAACCAAAAAACATTTATGAAGTTTAATTTTGCAGGCCTGTGTAATCTGTTTTAAAAATAAATGAACTGAACATTTAAATTAGGTATATAGAAAGACATTGTCAGTGCTGTTTTTACAAACAAATATAAACATCTAATGCCTTTATTACATGCATCAGATTTCAAATTTGCAAATAACTAATTAGAAGGAATACCTCTCCTAAATAACAAATTGAACTTTTTGTTCAACATAGAGCCCTGTCCATATTTTTGTGTGTTTCCTGAGAAACATTTTTTACATAACCTTTTCAGAAAATATAATCCATTTTACTCTGTGTATTCACCTTCACATTGGTTGTATTAACTACAGGCTCTGGTGGATCTACAGTTACGTTTTCAAATTAGTTTTCACCTGGTGGAGACAATGTCAGATATTGGTGGGATTGTTGCCAAAATGACAAAAGCTATCGCTGAGGCACCTTACAAGTAAGTAAGAGTTTTGACTACCAACAACTAGATTTTTGTTGTCCCTCTTGTGTTTGTTGTATTCTAATATGTATGGTACTACTAAGAGCTAGATTTTTGTTGCCCCTCTCGTGTTTGTTGTATTCTAATATGTACAGTACTACTAAGAGCTTGATTTTTGTTGTCCCTCTTGTGTTTGTTGTATTCTAATATGTATGGTACTACTAAGAGCTAGATTTTTGTTGCCCCTCTCGTGTTTGTTGTATTCTAATATGTACAGTACTACTAAGAGCTTGATTTTTGTTGTCCCTTTAGTGTTTGTTGTTTTCTAATATGTACAGTACTACTAAGAACTAGATTTTTGTTCACCCTCTAGTGTTTATTGTATTCTAATATGTACAGTACTACCAACAATTAGATTTTTTTTTACTCTCTAGTGTTTGTTGTATTCTAATATGTACAGTACTACCAACAACTAGATTTTTGTTGTCCCTCTAGTGTTTGTTGTATTCTAATATGTACAGTACTACCAACAATTAGATTTTTTTTTACTCTCTAGTGTTTGTTGTATTCTAATATGTACAGTACTACCAACAACTAGATTTTTGTTGTCCCTCTTGTGTTTGTTGTATTCTAATATGTACAGTACTACCAACAATTAGATTTTTTTTACTCTCTAGTGTTTATTGTATTCTAATATGTACAGTACTACTGAGAACTAGATTTTTGTTGTCCCTCTAGTGTTTGTTGTATTCTAATATGTACAGTACTACCAACAATTAGATTTTTTTTACTCT